ACCTACCTACCTACCTACCTACCGGACCATCAATACCATCAGCATCATCCTTCTCGCTGCCATTGCTTCTCATGTCCATCTCACCGATAATCAGGTGCTGCGACAGATCGACATGTTCCGCAAAATGCCCCCACCCCTGCGAAAGAAAATGGACAAGCAGCAGACAGAGGCGCTTGCTGAGGAAGCAGCCTTTGTCATGACGGTGGTGAAGGAAGTCCAGTCCGTGATGCCTGTCTCCACGGAGGTGCTTCAGAACGACTGGGTCGACAAGTACCGATCTGGGGACTCCGATGTTATATTGGAGGTTCAGTCTGCGATCATGAACAGGAACTGTCTGAATGTGCGTGACATCGGATCAGTGCAGGCCATCATGAATTCGCATGCCGCCCCCCTGGCCGGCAACAGCAATACCGTGGCAGTTCAGATGTCTGAGCTTCAGGCAAGCACCTTCGAGTTGAAAATGAAGCAGATGCAGTACGATGTCCAGGCCTTGAGGGTAGCCAAGGCGAAGAAGGCATCATGGGAAACCCAGGTGTATCACGCAAAGCTGCAGTACCGGGTGCAAGCCTATCAAGAGTCGGCCAAGGCTGCACAGCATTTCATTAGTTCCAACTGCTGCCTGCTGCACTACACCAAGCCCGACAAGCTTACGTTTGGCATCAACAACTTCGTCAGGGAGCAATGCAACAAGTTCAAGTTGGATCCCAACGCCGGGGCAAGAAGCCGAGCACACATGCCATGTTATCAGTCAATGTCATGTCACTTTAGGGTCATGAATCATGCAATGAATGTGCCTTTAAGCTAGGGTGATGTTACCTTTGAGTCTGAGGCATGCCTGGTGTACTTGAACTGGTCTGCCCCGAGCACGTTGAAGAAGGCAACCAAGGCGGCCCAGGTTGCTGCCTGTCAATCAGTGCTTGGGCTGTCAGAACGAAATATCGGCATCCTGCTGCAGCCTGAGTTCACCCACAAGAAGAACCAACTGTGGATGGTGGAGAATGCACACCTGAAGGACCTGGCTACAGCTGGATTGTCCGTCGACAAGAGCTTCATCCTCATGTTCAAGGACAAGGTTCTCTTCTCTACTCGGCCCAGTGCTGCTGATGCTGCTGCTGCTGCTCCGGTCTCATGTTGCTGCCGCCTCGATCGCAGCAGGTGCATGCATTGGCGTTTGACCTGAGGTGGACATGCGCGACAACCTCAGGCCACTGAACTATCGAGGCAGAATTCTTGAAGGTGCCATTCAGAAAGTCGCCAACAAGGACAGCTTCTGGAAAAACTCAAGCCTGATCCGGGACGGGCGAACAGAGCCTGCCACGCAAGTCCAAGGCAAGGACCTTGTCGTCATCGAGCACGCAGACGAGGAGGGCGACCTAGCACTCATGGACGAGAACGACAGAAATGCGATCCAAGGTGGCTACAGGGTGGAGCAGGTGGGGCCCAGTGCGTGTGAGAAAATCCTGTCGGGGATGTTCTCCGACCTGGCCTTGACTGGCCGGGCGGGCGTGTTCATCGTTGACCTCAACATATCGGTCGGCGATATGTTCTCTGCGTTCACAAATTTGCGTGGGAAGTACAATTTCCCAGTGTATTACCTGGGTGCCACTGACAGCGCCGAGACCCTGGATTGGTTCCAGGAGCATAAGACTGAGTCTCGATTGCTTCAGATTCATCTGCTGATTTCACAGTGCTACATGCCTCCCTTCACACTCTAAGTCTAGGTCGTCTAGGTATGCGCAGCACAGCACAGACAACTGAAGGATTGGCTGGCGAGGATGCACTTGAACGGCGACTTACAGGTGCCCGGCTTCAAGAAGGCAGCTGCAGAATGCCCAGAGGACCTTTTGGAACGTGAACCTGAGCTTCCAAAATTGAATCTCCTCACACCCACGAAAGACTTGTACCCCAAGGTTCCAGACAGTGTTGTGGCGGACTGGTCGACTCACGCCCAGTTCGGTGCTGACTTCAGGGCCTTTCTTGACAGGCTGGTCGAAGAGTTCGGCCCAATCCCTGAGGACGAGGGTAAGGAGACGGACAAAGACAAGGACAAGGACCAGGACAAGGAGAAGCCCAAGAGGAAAGTATCCGTCGGCGGGTCAGGTTTGCCAGTGGCAAAGCGCCAGAAGCTGTCTGGTGATTCGACTAAGGTCGCCACCATTGAGTCCGTGGGCCGTGGATCCGTGCTCGCAGAGGTGCCTATGGTCAATGCTAGGATGGGAGGCACTAGCCTGCATGTGAAGGTCGGCAACAAGATCTACGTCTTCAACTCAGGCACGGCAGAGAGCTGTCTGAAAAGTGGAACGATCTTGTGCGGCTATGGCAAGGGCAAGTTTCGCTTCGCCGGCAAGGACGGCCAGCCAGAGGGCGATCCTGCGAAGGAGGTGCAGTACAAGCTCACTGGTCCCGAACAGCTCGCTCCCTGCCTATCTTCATACTCACTGTGTTGAGGGCTTCGAGGGTTAAGGGTTTAGGGTTTAGGATTTCTAGGATTTAATTAAGGGTCTAGGGTTAAGGGCTTCGAGGGTTAAGGGTCTAGGGCTTAGGGTTTCTAGGATTTAAGGGTTTCGGCAGGTTTAGGGTTCAGGGTTGTTAGGATTTCAGGTTTAGGTTTAGGGCTTCCAGGGTTTAAGGTTTAGGGTTTAAGGTTTAGGGCTTAGGGTTTCTAGCGTTTGCGGGCCATGGTTTTATCACATGTCTGAGGTGCTGCATGGCAATCAGTTGATGACCCTGGGGCAGTGCATCGATCAGCAGAGGAGCAAGTCGCCTGTCATCAAGATTGCCTACCACAAGATCGAGGACTCGCCCAAGGAGGGTTCGCCTGGTCACTTCGTGATACAGTCGACGGCGAACGTGTGGTTCACCCCAGAGACGACAGCGAGCGTGACCTCGGAGGGGGCCGAGGAGAAGGCCAGTGCGACTCAGCAAGTGACTGCGGCAAGACTTGTGCCCAATTCGTTCTGGAGCAATCATGTGAGCCAAATTGTGTACAGTGTCAAGTGGCTGGCAACAGGGCTCTGGCCAGTGAGGCCGCAGCCTGTCATGATCGTCGATGTTGATCTCCCTCCTGGCAGATGTGTGGCGCTGTTCTAGGGAACAGCTAGTTGCAAAGTTACGGGCCCAATGTTTGAGCATGGATTGCCATGTCCTACGACAAGCCAAGCTTGAGCCATCAGTCAGCCAGTGGAGTTTTGTGTGTTTTCCCTTGGCTGAAAAAGCCTGAGAGCCTGCTGCAAAGGCTCTAGATTTTGAAACCGAGTTGCACTAGCAACATGCTGCCATCTACATCATCCGAACTGTACCCTGACGCACAATGCCTCAAGCCTAGTGCCTAGGCCCTATAAGCCCTAGATGGCCCTCTGCGACCAGGAGACCGAAAATCAAAGACCGGCCAGCATCATTTTGCAGCATTGACCGTGGGTGCACACTTGGCAGCGTGACCACATGAGCATCAGCCAGGTAGTAAATTGGGTTCGGAACGTTAAACGAGTCAAATTGAATTCATTAGCCGCCTGACAGGTTGCAGCTGCAGGGTGGCCGTGGGCGTATCAGGCCACAGCTGCAGATTCAAGCACCTTCAACTTAAACTCCGGATTCCTCAGCATTAACATGCTAAACCCGAAGCCCTGAACCCTAAACCATAATAGCTGTCATTTGTGCTTGACTGTGTTGGCCAGGCATGTTCGTAGCCTCTTGTTGCCCTTGAGAATTCTCGCTGCCTGGGTGGCTTCAAGCTCCCCGTAGGTTTGATAAACAGCTTTGCTTTTGATTCGAGCGAACAGCATTCCGGCTTCATCTGAGATCAAGCTAGCCTTGAGTGTGTTGATCATGGTTTGCCTCGAACTGTGGGATCGCAGGCTAGATGTAGGCTGCATTAAAATGCCTCGTTTGGGCAAAAAACCATTTCGTACCCTGGCTATGGCCTTGCACACAGTGTCCTTGCAAATGTTAGGTGTTTTACTATCCACCCGCAGGCTCGGAAAGAGCCACCCCTCCCCATCACTATTCGTGCCCGGCCATTGCCAGTGATCCTTCCAGGTGATACTTCCACGACTACCCTTCAGCTGCGACCGCTTTCGGCTGATGCCTGTTCGCTTGAGGCGGGCCAACTCCTTGAGGCATTCTGGTAGTAGAGGCTTCAGAACTTCCGGCTGGCGCTTGAGTGCCGCAACACGCACGACATGTCGCTTCCAATCGAAGTCAACTGCCTGGAGCCTGCATGCCTCGGTTACACGTAAGCAAAGAAGATAAGATATCTTCACCAGCACATGAAGCCAAGTTGGACCCACGGCCAGAAGGTAAGACAGCCATTCTGCCATGAGAGGTCCTGGGAGGCACGCGGACTTCCCCAACTTCTTTCCGCGAGAGGCAGGTGCCTTCTGGGTCTTAGTCGTCTTCCGTTTCTTGGCATTGGCTGACCGCTGCTTCGGCATGAATCTGAAATTGGGGCAGGTTGAGCCACTTTTCGAAGCGACTGCGAGCGAAGCCCCACTTGTCATGATCGATTGGTCGTGGGAGTCCGCCTTTTGCACCAAAAGGCGGACTCCCCCAGCAGAATTACTTGCCCCCCAACCCTAACTCCCCAACCCACCCGGCCAATTCCCGATGCACACAGGCCTGTGGAAGCTGATGGTGGCATCTCCTGCACCCGTCTGCTGCAGCCTTTGTTGGCTGTGTGCACTTGCTTTAGGGTTTAGGGGGTTGACTGTTTTACTTTTCATGCATTACGAAGACTTTGAGCTGGGGGCTTTATTCTTTCTGGAGCTTCGGGTGGGGCTTGCGGCTGATTCACTTGCTACAGGGGGTGCCGATGTCGCATGATTTGCAGCACTCATGATTCTCGATCCCAATTCTGTATCGTCGATCACACACCAGCAGCCCGGAGCTCCACAAAACCACAGTTCTGCCATTTTAGAACGTATCCCAATCGTCATCCATGGTCATGGAATGAGCAAGTCAGTGAATGGATTCTGTTGCAGTAGCCGTTGCTGAGTCATAGGACATGACCACTGCTACATAGTATTAGACAACAGGCCTGTGAACATTCTCAGGATTGAGGAAGCCAGTGCCAGTGTCCATCTCCGGCACCTCCAGGCTGGGCAGGCATCGTCACAAACAGTTCAGTCATGGTCGGTCTACGTTGCATTGCAAGAGATGTATAGCCTAGCGAGTCGCAGCAGTCTTTTCTAAGCCTGCTCCAGCCCTGGCCTTGAATGCTAAGACCTGGCATCCACAACACATCTTTCCAACAATCCTATTGGAGATCTTCATGACTGGGATTCAGATATCACTTAGAATTAAGAGACAGCAGGACTTCCCCAGCCAACGCAAGAAAGGCTCCTCTCCCTCGCTCCTAGCCCAGGCCTGGCCTGCATCGATGAAGCAGCTGCTGCCACCTCAGAGCGCGAGTTCAGTCCGACATGTCCTACTGTGTTCTGATGTCGCAACTTCAAAGTCTAAAAAACTTCAGCAGCTGACTGTGCTCTGTGGTGTTTGCCAGCCCTCGCTCGCGCCCATGGATTCCCGTGGCTGGAAGCAGGGTTCGGACCATGCTGAGAAGGATGATCGTGATGATGATGATTGGTGGTTCTCATGGCACAACAGTGGCTGGACATCTGGCTGGAGCGACGGCTGGAAAGAGAACGATGAGGGCAAGCCGGCCTGGAGCGACGGCTGGAAAGAGAACGATGAGGGCAAGCCGGCCGGGAAACCGGCCAATGTCAAGGGACAGGCCACGGCAGCGAGGGCCCCGCCCCCTCCCCCCTTCGGCCCCAAGTCCAAGGCTCGCCCTGAGCCACCCACAGGGCCTAAAGCCGGACCCGGGCCCGTTGGCTCAAGCAAGCACTCTGAGTGGCTCACAGATGCCGAGTACGAAGAAGTGTTCGGGTTCAGCAGACAAAGCGGGCCATCCGCGAGCAAAGGGAGGAAGCATGACTTCCATGCCCTCCAGAGGCATTGCTGCCGCAGAGTGACGGCAACCGAAGCCGAGAAGGATGCTGTCGTGGCCAGGCTCGAGGAGGAGAGGGAGAAACAGCAGGAGGCCGCAAGAGAGAATGATATTCTGCTGGACCAGCTCGACCTGGCAAGGGGCCAGCTCGACCTGGTGAGGCAGGAGCACGAGGAAGAGAAGGCCAGGCTGCTTGCTGATGCGGAGCAGCAGGAGCTCCGCCACAATGATGACATGACGAAGGCCCTGTTTCACAACGCAAATCTTGGGCTGGCGCTGGAGTGCAAGGACAGGCTCATTGAAGCCTACCGTGTGGCGGCCGAGTCCACCTTGAAGGACAAGGACCTTTGCACGGGCCTGGAGTTCCAGAACGAGGCGCTGGAGGAGGAGATCCTGGGTCTGCAGGGCATCATAGGACAGCTGCAGAAGGAGAACGAAGCCTTCAAGCTGGAAGACAAGAACCAGCAGGCCCTCTTGGACGTCTTGGAGAAATACCGACAGGCAATCCCGAAGTGGGAGGCCAAGGTGCAACAGCTACGGGAACGTTTGAGCAACGCGACCTTGGAACTGCAGTTGTACGAGGATTGTTTGTCACTGCTGACTCATGCTTTTTTTTTTTGCTTGGGACCGTGTAAAGAGTTTCAGATTACCGCTGCCTCTTCCCTTGTCCAGGACCTGGGGCCACCGCAGGAGTCGCAGCCGGCGAGCAAAAAGATCAAGACAGAACAGGCTGGCTGAAAACTGCAAAGAATCACGGAGTAATTTCATGCTTGACGTTAAGATCAGGATCCTTTTTACGAGTGAGTTGTGATCTGTTGCAGGCGACGACACCTGGGGCCAA